CAGGATAGTGTTATTTTCAGCATCACATACCTGATGGTCCAGTGCTTGTGGAAGTGCAAATATCCTCTGTCTGTGTCTCACACTCCACTTCTATTGCAGTCTCATCTTCCTAATTCTCAGGATCTTCATTTGTATCCCTTTCCTGCTCTGAGTCCTCGCTCTGAAAATAAATGAATCCCGTGTCCTCTGACTCTCCCTCTCTGGTGCTTTCAACTTGCTCCTCTTCAAATCTCTCACCACTATCATCATCTGACTCTCTCTCTGTGTCTGGATAAATGTGTTTCTTTTTCATATAGAAATATGATGTAATGTCAGTTTTTCTTTTCATTTTTAACGTTAAATGTTTAAGTGAAGAGGAATTAGACTTAATAATGCTACTGTTGGGGGCTTGTTTCGTTTTGTGATTTTACATTGAAAATATAAATCGTGTCGAAAATAGCACTCGTGTCGTGGTAATCTGCTTCTCTGCGGACTGCTTCTCATTTTCCCGCTCAATTTTGAGTGGTGCAGCACACTAAAGGGTCCGACTAGAATGTTAAGCCACGCACTTTGGTTCCACCTTTCGCGTCTGCAACTCTGGGCCACTGCGTATTCTACGTTCGGAGGGGGGGCCACAGGGGGGGCCAGAATCAGTGCTACAGGGGCACTGGCCCCCGTTGGCCCCCCCCCAGAACCGCCACTGGGATATCCTCTTATTTTTTTCCCTCCAATTGTAAGTCATTTTTGAGTTCATATAAAATAGAACAAGTCCAGTAACTTGCATCATAGACAAACTCATGCTCACAATTACATCAGCAAAAAATTGTCTCATTGTAAATGAATTAAATACATCCAGAAATGGGTTAATCCAATTCAGTATTCCAGAGATAGCCAATCTGTGTTTAAATAGAGATGATCAGTTTTGGACCACAACGCATCAACTGCATAAAATAGGCATTCAATTACTGTACTCTCACACTGACTGTCATAAGCATGTTACATCTGTGGCCCACTTCTTTCAGTCTAAAAGCACGTCGTCAAAAGTGGCACAGTGTTTGGAATGATGAGGGTTCAGGTGCTTCAATTTAGGCCGGCCCCTGTGGCCTCCTTGAACATTCTACCGCTGGGTGTTATTGAATAAGAGCTACAGATGTGGCTTTGAAAAACACTTTGGAAATATACAAGATCTCATTTGGAAACATCTTTTCAGTAAACTTTAAATATCTTCATCATCCTTGGATGACAAATTGTTTTGCTAATAAATTATATCGGATTTATTGTTATATTGTTTTGCAAAGACCAAAACATTCATGATTTTCCACATTGAAATTAATATTGTATTGTACTAGTCCGACTTGGCAACGGCCGACTGGATCTCAATTGATACCCTGAAACGCATTTTTTGTTGTAAAAGACCATGATATGACATGTCATTTTGGATTGGCCCTTACTTCTGCAACGTTATGACATTTCACCCTCAAAATGTCTTGTCATGTCGAGGTGTTTGAATACCAGGTCCAAAGTCATGGTAAGTCATTCAGATTTTTATTTTTTTTTTTTTGCAAGCGAGACTCAAGTCCTAAAAATGGGAACTCGGGTCGGACTGTTTCCAATCTCATTTTAATCTCATACAATCAACTATACACTCTGCTGCAAATTAGACTTGACTTTTTCTGAAACAACTTTGAAAAATAATAGCCACAACCACTGACAAATGACTACCCTGCAAAAGTTCACTGTCCACTGTGGCTAAATTGAATGCATTCATCTTCAATTTATCCTTGAATTGTATAGGGACTGGAATGGCCCATAATAGCAGGTCCCGACATCATTTATCATAAAAATTCAGATCATGTTTTCTTGTGGGATCATCATCTAATTTTCTCGTGTAGTTTAGCAGGGAAACTATCCCTCGAATCTGAGGCTGTCAAACGCATTGATGCATGTCAGGACAAAAACGCTGCTAATAAGAATGTGTGATAAAATACCGGTATTGCCTCGTTAAAAGGGACTCTACTCAGTTACATTTGAGGATTTTGTGCATGACAGTTATCATGTTAGGCCAGCTGCAAGAAGACTATTTGAATAATTTCTCTCAATTTATTTCTTCCCATTTATGAAGTCATTTGTAGCCCTCATAATCATGAGTGCATGGTTGTGAAAGGAGTCTTCCAAATTTATGGCTTTAC